TTCATCTGTTTTGCATGCACCGCGGCTCGGCGCATCATACTAACTGCATTGTACTTCAATTCCAAATTGAATACATGATAGTTGTAACATTTCATATGCCATGTTTAGAATAGCCGAGCCCGCTATAGTTGCATTTTGCATGGGTTGCATTGGCATTTCTGTTATACTTAGGATTCATGCATGATTTCTAATGAGTTTTTGTTTCGGATTGGAGTACCCGAGTGATTTATGCTTTAGCATCCTTGCATGCGTGTGAGTGACTGCCATGAATAGCATGCTTACCATGAGGCTATTTGCTTATGTGATATATCTGCCTGAATGCCTGTGGGTGAAGGTTGGTTATCTAGATTGGAATAAATACATCAAATGTGTGTTTTTAAGCCACTAGATAGTGGCAAAACCATCTTTACTAAGCCCACCCGAGGGTGGCAAAATCTGCATTTTAAGCTACTTGCGAGTAGCAAACCATCTTTCAAATAAACAAACATGAAATGTTTTGTTCCAATTCAGGCAACTCAGTCTAACTTATATGCTGTGCATCACAATGTAGCCTAGGCATAACCGGAATAAGAACACACAAAGTTTTCAAAAATAGATATCATGGTAGTAGAGGCCGTCTTTGACCGGGCGAGCGGGGTGCTTCACGACAGTTGACCTTCCCCAATCGTACCCAAGTTCCCGAGCCGAGGCAACTTTGGTGATGACGGACACGTGGCCTTTGGCACCGAGTCAGGGTTTCCTAAATTTCCCAAAATAAAATATTTAGGTGGCCACTCTGTATTTGGCAAAGCAGTCCATGTTAGGCACTTCTTTCGAAAATCTGTTTTCTTAAAACGATTTGCCGGATTTGGACTCTTTGGTTCAGATTTAGAACCGTGATTACGAAATCGAGTCCGAGCTGTAGCGGGGTCCCCCGCGGGCTTGTTACAGTTTCTGGCGACTCTGCTGGGGAGTTAGAGAACTTGACTCGAACTCTTGATATCTGTTTTTGATTACACTTGTGTGTTTCTTTGCATTGCATTTGCATTGGTGCGCCTAGGACACCGTGTTTGCCATCTGCTATTCCTGAACGGTTTGCCGGAGGCTTGTCTTGTCAAGGCATGACCATAAGGCTGACCGGTTGTGGGCTCTGCCAGTATGGGAACACAAACCCCGGTTTTACCGGGGCATCCTCTTTGACCATTCGACCTAATGCATATTCGGATCCATAGTGACCATTCCAAACTAGGACAGGTTGCTTACCCGTTTATAGGTTGTTTGAAACCGCTGCGTGCGTAGTGAACCCCTAGTGAACCCCGTGAGTTGACTTTTTGACTATTTTATGCTTGCTCTCGATTCTACATAGAATTCATCCCAAATGAGGCTTTTCAAACTAAAATAGTCAAAAAGTCAACTCACATCCCAAACGAAGGTTTAGATCACATTACCTTTTTATTTTTTTATACGTCTTTTTGTAATAAATAAAAAAATAATTTATAAGTCATACCCAAAATAACTTATTGTGAGTTGTTTTTGGTAACATATTTTTTTTTAGTCAAAAAATCAATAGAAAAAAATCAACTATTTTCTTTACTTTTTTATAGATGTTCTTCACTTTTTGTACATATTTTTGTATACAAAATTAAAAAAATTAGCTAAAATAATCAAATTTTCAAATAATCTTAAATTTGGTCAATTCGCCATTTTTGTGTATATTGTTTTTTTTTTCCGGCTAAAATAACTAGAAAAAACTATGCCAAACATAGCCAATTCTCATAGTTGGTTAGATTAAAAAAATTGACATTCAAACTATTATTACAATTGATTATTTTAGGATAACCACCCTACCATATTAAGGTCTCATTTGGAAAGTTAGTTATTTTAATTGATATTTTAACTTTAGCTTGGCTAAAAAGTTATATTTGGGAAGTCAGTTATTTTTTTTAATTGATTTGATAATTATGAGAGAAAAAATAAAATAATTATAATTTAAATATAATATTTTATCTTATTATCTAATATAATATTTTATCTTATTATCTATTTTAATCTATTTTATCTTTAATTATTTTAACTTCAAACCTACTCTCCAAACCATCCCTAAAGAGAAAGAACCACAGCTCCGTTTTTATTTAAAATTATTCTATCATAGTAACCCTTTCCATTTCAATTATTATTTTTAAATATTTTTGTGAATCATGCACAATGTAACATTTATTTATTAGGAAAATGTTTGAGGGCCACAATTTTTGTGGCTCAAATGGCTCAAAATTGTCAAAACGACGTCGTTTTGACAATTTTGAAGTTGTTTTGTACTCAAAACGACGTCGTTTTAGCAATTTCGAGCCATTTGAACCACAAAAATTATGGCCCTCAATCATTGCTGTATTTATTAATACATGATATTATAATAAAATCATTGGCGGAACTGTGTAGGGCCGGGAGGGGCTCCGACCCCATCTGATTTTTTTATAATTTATTATAAATTTATATTTATAAATATTTATAAACTACATAATGAGATGATTTTTTAATTTTATAAAAATTATTTTATTAACTTTCTACTTCATTAATACTTCACAATATATAATGAAAATAATCTCTAATTATTTTATATTTTAAATAATATCATCAATTTTATCGGGTCAATTTTACTACTAATACAAGAGTATATACATCACTTCTTTTTTTAACTTGAAAATAAATTAGTATGTATATATTTTTTTGTGAATAATGGTAAAGAACTTGAAATTTTACCCTTAAGTTTATTCACAATGACATTGTAGGAATTGAGAGCATCTCCAATGCACTAGGCATATCATACTTGTTAGTTAAAATGCCTAGTGTGATTCACTTTTTTCAATTCCAACGCACTAAGCATATGATTAGGCATTTTGGCTCAACTCATATTCACTAGCTACATGTAGCTAGCCTTCAACGCTAGGCAAAATGTATTCAATCATTAGGATCATTTCCCTCCATCTTTGTTGTTGACGTGGCATTCTATAAAATTAATAGTATTTGGATTAATAGCTAAAATAAAGAACATGGTTGGTGTAAAAACATAAAACAGTTGATAGGCAAAATAAAATATATACTTTATAGTAATATTTAGATAGGTAAAATGCCTACTACCGTTGGAGTTGATAGATTTCTAAACAATTAACTCACATGTATCAACGCCATTGAATGTAAATTTAAGAGTTATGTTTTAGAGGTTTTATACATTTTTACTTCTTACTAAATTATATTAATCAATAAAATAGTTTAAAATAATGGTTTAACCAATTGTATACTAAATTTGGGACTTTTTTTTTTTGTTATTTTAGTCACAAAAAATAAAATAAGCTTTTTAGTCTAATAAGACAAAACATCACATCCAAACCATAATCATTACATTATTTCTCTCACAAAAATAGTCAAAAAAATTCAAAAAAACCAAATTTTTTTTTCCAAACAATACTTTTTAACCACAAGTTAAAATAGTAAAAAAAAACTACAAAAGTCAAAAAGGTGGCTTTCCAAACCAATAAAAGTTCAAAACTTTTAAAAACTAAAAAACATTTGTTTAATTTTATTGTGAAATATTTATTTCACAACGCTTATATAACAAATTATGTTCAATTAGTAATGTATCAAAATTAACTCAGTATTTTTTTTTTGTATTTAAGATGGCCCCACTCGGATAAAGCTTCTAGTTCCGCCATTGAATAAAATTCAATCAATTTACATAAAATAAGATCCATATAAATGTAAAAAGATTCAAGTTACTTACTTTCTAATGAGGTGCAAAAGGTTTTGATCAACCAGCTAACTTTTATAATTTTTTGCACAGTGTTTTCATTGCAAAATTTACGAAATCATTGTTGTAAACCTAGAGTGGACTAGCAAAATTAAGTATAAAAAAGTACGAGATATAGTGATATGGAAGGGAACCATTTCCGAAAAGAAATATATAAAAATGATAATGTTAGCTTCTTAAATTTTTTAACAACAATGATTCATCCCACTAAAAATATCACCACTAATAGCACTAATGCATTAAAAAAGTAAAAAAAAAAAAAAAAACACAACTCCAAGACCAAAACATCACATCAGTAATGGCGGGACCCACTGCCACCTAATTAGTGGGAGCACTAATTAGTGCTCTCAAGCATTTTTCATTTTTTAATTGTTTTTAAAATAGTTAAAGTGATTTTTTTTTAGAGAGAAATGAATTTGTCAAATAAATCAAACTTATTTTTTAAAGTAAAATAAATTTTGTAGTCAATAAACTATTTTTAAAGTTATTTAGTGCAACTTATGAAATTATATATATATATATATTGAAAATCTATACTAATGTTTAATGATAAAATAATTTAAATAAATTAAAAAAATTAATTATTGAAAAGTTAAAAAAAATTTGTAATGAATTATTTTGGTAACTAATTATTTTAATTAATTAATTATTTTTTTTAATAAAAAAGTACTAAAAAAACTTTTTTTTAGTAATGACTTTTTTAACTAAAAAAATTTACAGCACTGGTAGGAGTAATGGGTAGTGTGGCTCAAATGGCTCAAAACTGTCAAAACGACGCAAAACGACGTCGTTTTGACAGTTTCGAGCCATTTGAGTCACACATTTTGTGACCCTCAAACATTATTCAAAAATTTATTGCCAAAAACTTTTCTTTAAAAAGTTACACAAACAGGTCTTTTTAACTTGCAAGGAAACCAAAACCACTACACTACACTCCTGTACTCATCAAACCACTTAAGTCTATTTTGACAATAATAAATAAATAAAAAAAAAATTAATTTATTAATTTTTTTAAAAAATTACCATCACAATGTAATTTAAATAAATCAATAAATTATTTTTTTTTAATCGTCAAAATAAGCCTTAACCTGACTCCATCAGAACCGGCAGAACGGCCAACTGTCAGTCGCCAACCAAACAGCAGCAGCCGAGTCACTTACCGTCAACTCCCAGTTCCCAGTCAATAACAAAAACAAAAACGTCGTCGAGCGTAACTGAACGCACACCTCCAAGTCCAAACCAAAGCCCCTCCGCATTCAAATTTTAAATCCAAATTCTCGGATAAGCCCCCACCATCTCTCTCTCTCTCTCTCTCTCTCTCTACTCTCAGTTGCAGAGCTGTCCAGAATTGTCTTCTAGGGTTCCAATTTCTCTCTCCTCTCTCGTCTTCCCCAACTCAGGTAAGCCTCCCCTTCCTCTCTCTGTGTATAGGTGTATATATATATTGCTTACATATCTGTGTACTTGCTCGCAAGTTGTAATCTTTCAACCTCATTTCAACTTAAATTTACTGTAATTGTTTCGATTTTTTATTTTCAGTTTTTCTTAATTTTTTTAGATTTTAGTTGTGCTGTCGATGTGGTGAAATGGGTATTTGTGTATCTACAGAAAGATTGAGGTTTTGGATGGTTTAAGCTGGTTTTCTTTTGTGGAACCCTAATTTGGTGCTCAGAAGCTTGGGAATTGAGGGGATTTATTTATTTATTTATAAATTGGGAGGTTAAGGAATGGTTGAGGGGGATAGAGAGAGTAATGGTGTTAGGGAAGACTGTGGTGGTGGGGTTATCGAGTGGAGTGGTGATGCAATGAATGGGTTTGCTACCGGAGTTGAAAATGGGGTTGTTGGTGATGGGAACTCTGCTGGGTTGTCTTGTAATGGTTTTCAGACGTACAAGAGGCGAAGGCATGCTAAGATGGGTAGTTCAGAGACCAAATTGGCTGAAGATGGGAAGATTGCTGCAGATTCAGTCAATCAACTCCAGGATAAGGTTCGTTTGCTTCTTCGAAAAATCCAAGCCTCTGTCCCCATGCTTGATGTCTATGAATTTATGGATGTGTTTGTAAATGAGTTGTTCTTTATGCTTTGATTTATTTTTATTATTATTTTTACTTTTTTGATATCTTTCTTAATTCTGTTTTGGAATTTTGTGTAATTGTAAATTTTAAGATTTAGGAATGCAACAAAAGTATGGTGAATTGCTTTCAATTGAGTAGGAAACTGAAATGAATAACCTAAAACCATACTGAAATTCCAAAACCCTGAACAATTCTCGTGATTTTTGATGAAAAGTTAAACATTGGGTATTTAGTTTGAAATGTGGCTAAGTGTGCTACATTATTACAAAGTTCATGTTTGGCTTTTTTTGTGCAATTGTCAACCATTTAGCTACAAAATTGAACTTTTTTTTGATATAATAAATGATGATATAGGTTCTAACATGTTTCTGAGCCTTTTTTTTTTTTTGGTTTACATGGTAATGGATTAATTATAAGTGACAAAAGGTGTGAAAATGAAATTATGTCGGAAACTTCTATCCTTCAGTTAGAGAAGTTGTGACAAGCAAATCTTTTTCTTAGCCTTAGGGTTGACTGTTGGCATCTAAATTAGAGAACTCAACTCATCATTGGTGTCATTATCTGGTTTTTGTTCACACTAAATCAGGCCTGGTACACATGTCCATCTATTCTACAATAGGGAGAGGTGAACTAAATGTTTATCTTTGGTGTCAATATTAGCATTATCTCGGAATTAGAAGCCCGTTATACACAATACACCCCTTCAGATGGTGAGATAGTGAAAGTAGTATTTCATGTAATATATTTTCATACGTGTTTACCTCAAAAAACTTGGAAAGTAAGTATGTAAACTAAAAGCTTGCTAGAATAAAGTGGTAAAATGGTAAAATTTGATGAAGAAGAGGGTAACTTCATTTTGTTATCCATGTTTGTGGTGCCTTTATCTAGAGAACCTGGATATAGTAATGGCTACAGATCAACAATAGTGTTTGCTTCAATGTGTATGAGAACAGCTTTGTATTGTTTCTGAAAACAGAAACTTGCTAGAACATCTTTTTAACTTTTGATTGCTCGGTTGGCCTCCATCTTGTTACAGGCTGCTTATATTTTTGTCTCATCAAGACTTTTAAAAAGTTCAGAGTTTTGCTACTGATTTATTTGAACTTTTCTTGATGCCTGCTCTCATGTCTTTTTCTTCTCTATCTTTCTCTTGTTATTGGCCTGTCTTCTTTTGTACACTTCTTCTAAATGCTGAATATAGTTATTGGGTTGGATTTTTTTCGCTGCCATGGATGAAAAGAAAATTGCTTGCCCTCTTTAATATTAAAAGTAATTTTTTAAGCCAGTGCATAAGAACTATTATGTCTTGAACTAAGTCTGAGTATCAAAATGAATTCCTCGATAAACTACAAAGAATTATGTAGAAATCATCATAAGCTTTTAGTGTTCATGACTATGACATGCTACTTGTGAGCCGTTCGGGGTTGGTTTTTTTAGTGCCTTTTTGCCTTTCGAATTTTTTTATAGAATCTGAAAAAGCTGATGCGTTAGGGAAGTTGAGTGGCTTTTTGGCTTTTTTAGTTGATGACAATTAGGTTAATTTTTTTTTTGGGACTTATTTAGCCAAAAAGCTGGCTGTTTTAAAACACCCCAAGCAACCAAAGCTTTTAGTGATCATGTCTAAGAACATGCTACCTGTAAATGTCGTAATGTTTGTCAATTTTTTTTCTTTTTATATGTTAAGAAGTTCTTTAATTAAAATTTCTTGCTTTTTGCTTGTTCAATGTGAACTTATTTTATTTATACTGATAGTGTTTATTCTGTTAAAAATAAAACTGATCATGTTTAATGTTTATTACTCAATCTCATGATGATTCTGTTGAGGATCTTTATTGAATGTGCTTGATATTGTGTATTGTTATATTTGGCCGGCTAGTTCTGGGTTTACTCAAGATGTTTTATGAGTTGCTATTTATATGCACTGGTTATGCATCCATTTGTCTGGAGTTGATATAGATTTATGATTTTACAAAATATTCAGGACAGTTTTCTACAATCAATGTTTGCAGATGTTTTTGCTTTATAGATGTTCATAACATTCTGTCAAGTAAAAGTTCTATTTCATTGAGCTGTTTATAGATTATTTAGTTGAACTCAATCCATGAATGCTTATTATCTCTCTTTCCTTGTGTGGGTTTCTTTCTCTACTTGAGCTTTTTGTTTGAAATACTGTTGTTTGTAGGACAGAACTTGAACTTTCAGTAATCAATTGGCACCAACTTGCAAACAGTGGATGTTGCACACCGTTAATGTCTTTTGAGACAAAGTTCACTGAACATACTATATGTTATTGCCTGATAGACATCTGTTAGATGTCCATACATTATTTCGTTCCTGTTGTGTTGAAAAAAATATCGTTGAAGGTCATTTGGGTAGTTGTTGAAAAAAATGGATAGGTTTGCTAGTATTATTTGTCATCAATGTCTTCTTTTGTTATTTGTACCTTAGTAGCAGGAATCGTTCATGTTGCTCACGATTCTTCCTTAGAAGCGCGATTCTGCACTTCTAACTCAGATTCGCGAGTTTGATGCGAGAGAAACACGAATTTGATCACGAATTTGTCTTCTTCTCAGTCAAAGCTACATCGCGGGCCATTGCAAACCTTCATAGGCCATCGCAGACTTCTCCCTTCCTCTTCGTTGGTTTTCGCGAGTTGCACACAGGTCATCGTGACTTCTCTCTCGTTGGTCTTCGCGACATCTCTCTCTCTCTTTGCAAGTGGTTCACAACTTCTCTCTCCCTCTTCGCTGGGCATTGCGACTCCTCTCTCTCTCTCTCTCTCTGATCTTACTTCTCTTCTTAGGTTATATAGATATAAAGATAGATATATATGTAATATGTGTGTATATATATTTTTATTTATGTTTTTATAAATTAGACTTACATATGTATATATATGTTTTTATTTATATATTATATATAACCTTTAAAATTATATATATTTGTTTTAATTTATATATTATATATTGCCTTTATAAATTTATGTGTATTTATTTATATTATATTTATTAAATTAATGTTATTATGCTATTTTTGTAAGAAAATAACATAAAACAAATAATTTTTAACAAAAATATTTTATAATAAATAGATAAAAAGTAATAAAAATATTTTAGAATAAATGAATTTTTTTTAATAAAAATATATAATTAGAATATTTTAACATATGATTTTTTATACTTTTTATTTATTTATAACATATATAGTTCCATAAAAAATATAATCTTACAATATATTTTTATATATTATTTAAAATATATACAAACGCTCTGAACTAACGATTCTTGAAATGTCTACGATTCCACGCTCTCGCTCGCTCTCCCGCTTCGTGCAAGCTACTCGGCTTTCTTATCCGAATACATCCTAATCTAGTTATTGAGGTTTCTTAGATGTTCCTATCTGCAGAAGTGATAATATAAGCTCATTTACATGTGTAATTTCAAAAACTTATTTTGAAAATTATTTTGTTCATATTCCGTTGTAAAATTAGGAGAATTATGGGGAGGGACAACAATGACATCTCTATTTTTGTGGCTAAAATAATTAGCTATTTGATACCAATTTTGTTGAAATAAAAAATTTCTGTTGAATGACCTTTAGATGAGTGTTTAATAAGATGGATAGGTTAGCCATTTTAAGTTAACATCAACCTCATCCGTTCTTTTTGCATTCGTTGGCTGGTTAGCTTCTTCTTCTTCTTCTTCTTCTTCTTCTTCTTTTAATTTTAATTTTTATTATAAATTATCTTAATTCATGCCAATCTAGTAATCTTGGTTTTAACTTTTCATAGATAAATGTAAGTTCCTTTGCAATATTATTTTCAAAGCTTTATTTTATTGGATATTTATTTTTTATTTTACTGAGAAAAATTAGGAAAACTTTAGAAGCCACAGCAATAATTTTTCTCTGGCTACTGTATATGGGTGTGTGTGGCAAAATGTAGTTGGTGAGAGGAAATAGCAAGAGGTAAAGGTCGTTTGGTCTTGTCATGTTCTCCTTAATTCTTCTTGCAGTGATCTGTAAATATTTGCAGTGAAGAAATTTGATTTCATTTAGGCCTCGTTTGGGAACAGGCTAATTTAGTAACTTTTTGGCTATTTAGCTAAAAAGGTAGGTAAAAAAACTTGTATGTTTGGAATGACTTTTTGGCTAATTACGAAAAGATGTGCAAAAAGTAGAGAGAAAAGAGAATCTTTGACTTTTTGGTGTGGGTTGTTGACTTTTTGACTAATTTAATAACTTTTTGGCTAATTGGCTAAAATAGTCTCTTGCCAAACGAGGCCTTAGTAAATAATATTGCATTGAACATTAGGAGAAAATTAAAGTTAAAAAAATGTGAGAGATGTGTCTATAGATTGTATTCAAATTATGAGTAATTGATGAAAGATGTTTTCACATTTTCTCTATTCAATGCATTCTCTGAGTATTCTTTTACTCCCTTTTCCCCCTTGTTCTTTTCATAACCTATATTTATGTTATTTGCTTCCTGCAGACAGTAGAACCATTGCAAGACAGGGTGCTACATAATTGTTCTTGTGAGCAGGTTAGTCATCCTAGGATGGACTCACTTCCTTCAGATGACTGCCAGCTGATCCGGTGGAGGAATATTGTTTTAGAACAAATGAATCAATCTTTTTGTGAGAGTGAAGGTGGTTTACAGGGATGCATCCAAGAGGCACTTAAGCTTCATCCAGTAAGTGGTTGCAGAACTGCAGCTAAGGTATGTCACCAGAATGTCATGGGTTTAGATGATCTTAGTAGGCTTATGATTAATTTTCCTTTTTTAATTTTATTTTCATCTAAAAATTTTGGTTTTCCTTCTACTGTGGTTTGGTTTGCAGCAACCTGTTCATTCTTGTGATGATAGCCACAAATGCCCTTCACAAACAGGGCAGATGGTTAATGGAACCCATTATGGCTCTAGAGGGAAAGTGGGCATAGTGTCCAATGGATCCCTAAGTGAATCAAACTGTACAAATGCTGATCTATGTAGATGTGCTTTCATTGACATTGTTATGTCGGAAAAGTTTGCTCAACTATGTAGCCTGCTCTTGGAAAATTTTCAAGGGATAAAAGTTGACAGCATTTTGGACGTTAGTATTATAAACTCAAGGATGAAAGAGGGAGCTTATGAAAGGTCACCTATTCTTTTTCATTCAGATATGCAACAGGTAATTTTTTTTTATCCTTCCATGATTCAGTTAATGAAATATTCATGTTTCTCTTTGTGCTTGTATCGATTAAGTGTTAGATTAGTTGTTGATTCTATGATTTGTTGAAGCAGCATGATTTGGAAATGTAATAGCAATTAGGGATTATATATCCAAGTTTCCAATAGTGTTTTTCCTTCCAATTTTTTTTCCTTTGTTGTTTCTGGGGATCCTTCATGTTGAAAGAGAACTTCTGATATTTTAATGTAGTATTTATTGTGATGTTTTCTCATCTTTTTAGAAGAGATTGATTATTCATTTCTTTATCAGCTTTTCATTGAATATTTATTGTGATGTTTTCTCATCTTTTTAGAAGAGATTGATTATTCATTTCTTTATCAGCTTTTCATTGAATAGTTGTTTTGAACTCTTTCATGAAGTATATATGTATTCTTTATTGAATTTCTTGTATGTTGCGGAGTCCACAAAACACTTAAATCTAATGAACTTTGCTCCACAGAACACTATGCATAGAAATGATATGTTATTGTGCCTTCTTAAAAAACTGTGGAACTGTGCAACAAATTGTCATTTATTTTCGTAAAATGTTTCTTTTAGTGTAATTATTTATGTTCTGTATATTGCTCAGCATTAATTTGCAGTTCCTTGGTTTAGTTTTGTATTTCATTTAGTGGGTTTTTGTACTGCTCTATTGATCCATTCTTGAGAATTCCCTTTGTATGGCCTGGGGGAGACATAATGTTATCATCATGGTTACTTTGTCTGGCTTATGCAGCAAATTCATTGTTCATTTACACATGGGACACCACAATATGGATGTTATCTTGCACGATTTCTTTTTCTTTTGCACTTTTTTCGTTTTTTGATCTCACACCCAATATTTTAAAGCCTTGGAACAAACTAGAAAAGGGATTGGGTCAAGGGTCACCAGTCATTAGTGCAATTGATGAGGCAACCAGAATTGTACTGTGATGTCACAATGACATCATTAATATGTTTAGTTATTTTCATAATTTTAAACAAATTATAGATTAGAATTTTTTGATGAATATTTCTAGAGTTCAATAGATTACACTGACTAGACGATGTTGTCATGTATGCCAACAATGTAGGGACAGTGGAAAAATGGCAAAAACCACAATGTACAAATTTATGGTACGTTACATGCAGACTGCAGTATAACGTTAACTCTTATCAACCACCACTGACTGACATGCACTAATTGTCTAATGCACACAGAACTCTATTTTCTATTCTTGTACCAAGGCCATTGTTGATGTGGTATAATATGAGTTATTCATGATACATGAAGCTGAATTTTTTGTGTTAGATGCATAGGTGTATCTAATCAGATCATGGGTTAGCCAAAACTAGAAAAGCATAAGAAGGGGAAAATTAGAAAAATTTTAACTTGTGTAGTGGGATTGTGATGATCATGGGCTTATCAAAACATCAAAAAAGTGCTAAGGGGAAAAATTAAAATTTAACAGAAATGGCGCGATAAAGGGAAAAAGTTACATTTGAAGGTTAAATGTTGGTCTAATTTAGTTACAATTTATTTGGTAAATACTTTGTTAATCTTAATCATAGAAACATATGAGAAGATGAGAGATAGAGGGAGAGACAGAAAGAAGCCAACCTCTCAGTCGCTGTCTAGCAGGTGTTTCCTTTGCAAGAGAACCCATGAAGTCACAATTGCTGCTGTACACAAGAGGTGTGATGTGAGGCTTCGAGCTTGGGCAGTGTTTTGGAGTTGGGGCTGAACTGGATATGCCCTAAAATCTTATATTTATGTTAGTTGATTGCTTTTGTGGTGAACTGCAAATGTGTTTTGCAGATAGATGGTTCAAGAGGTGGTCTTAGTGCTTCTTACAAATTGAAAAGGTTTCAATGTAGCAATACTTTTTGTGAGTTTGCCTGATCCCTTTTTTTTGATTTGTTCCCTCCTTTACTAGTTGAACTACAGTTTGGGTTTAAAAACATTCAGTGCCCCTGACCCATTTGGAGTTAAGACTAACTTCCACGGGTGCAGGCCATTGCTTGCAATCCACGTGTGTGGGGAAGTCCTGGATGATTTCTACCCGAGACTTCTTGAGTTTGTGTCTTAGTCAATTGTTGCTATTTTGGTATTTAAGGAACAATAGTACAACCTTAGGATGTGTTTACATGTATGTCAGTCAAAAGATCTATGCTGTTCTTCCCTCATATATAAAGTAAATTTAAACATTCTAGTACTTGTATATCTTATGAAGATTGTTACAAGTATATGACAATGTGAAACAATTACTATATTTTTGGGGCACCTTGGAATTCTGATGCTGATTACAATTATAAAATTTAAAATGTCATATGATAATGCCTGGAGGGACCTTGTTAAATAGCGTGTCAGGCCTTGCCTTGTTCTATTGTCTTCTAGATTTTTGTTTCCATCATGAGATATTTTTCATCTCATGGCAATAACACAATAGATGAATGTGCCACTATTTTGTTTTTTTGGAAGTATGGAATTTGTTGTTATCATTGTCATCTGTATTAAACTGAATTTAAGAACTTATGTCAGGCAGTGAATATATTTAATTTAGTATTTTTTTATACAAGAGAATTTATGAAGTTATTTTATTTTATTTTATTTTTGAAGTTACAGTGATAGAATTTGCAAAAAATTATAATTTATTATAATTTTATTTTGGTTTATTTTACCCTTGATGTCGTATAAACATAGCACATTGGGCACAAAATACATATTTACTGACACACATACTGTATGATGCTGACTTTCTATTTTCGGTATGCGTACAATTTTTTTTCCTAATTCTACTTTTGTCAATTGCCATTAACTTTAATAGAAATGTTTTATATATCTTTTTTATCTGTCTCATTGTTTATGAATCTTTAACCAGATTGATGTATAGTTGATATTACAAGGCTTCCTATTATATAGGAGAGGATTTGGGAGTAGGTGAGTGTGTGTGGTAGGTGTAGGAAAGTAGGTGAGTGTGTGTGGTAGTGGAGGTGGTAGGTGGAGTGGGTTATGGTAAATTCTAACAGTTTATTTTACCCTTGATGTCGTATAAACATAGCACATTGGGCACAAAATACATATTTACTGACACACATACTGTATGATGCTGACTTTCTATTTTCTGTATGCGTACAATTTTTTTTCCTAATTCTACTTTTGTCAATTGCCATTAACTTTAATAGAAATGTTTTATATATCTTTTTTATCTGTCTCATTGTTTATGAATCTTTAACCTACATTGCCCTCTCAGATTGCATACATGTTTCACCACTAGTCTAAAGTGGTTTCAGAAAATGTTGGATATAGAATTCCCATATGATTGATGGTTGCTAGTTTTGAATTGTCCATGTTTTATAATGTTTAAACAATATCCAAATTTGGATGTAATTTTATTGGCAATTTTAAAAGCTGTTTCCACTTTCTTATGTAATTACTTAGTATTTAGTAATAAGATCATACAAAAAGGTTTTTAATTAATGGGATATTATTTCTTCTGACCTAGGACTTGATTTAGTTCATAAAGATAGTGGCATAAATGGCAATCAGTTAACAAGATTTGCTGTGAGTTAGTTTCTGATTCTTCATAAAGTTGTTATAAATGCAATTTAGCATATGAGGTCTATTTAACTTGAAGAACTTTCAATACTAGTAACTGATATGATTGCTTGCTGGAACACCATTTCCTATTTCAGATGTTGGAAATCTAATGGTTTCGGACAACATTAGTTTCCTGTGACCCTCATCAAATTTCTTGAAATTCCTTGCAAATGCTGAGTATGATGTTATGAAACTGATAGCAGCTATTGAATCAAAAAAAGGTGAAGGATGGATGAAATTCTGCTAAAAGGGTGTGAGGGGTTTGTCTTGCACTGTTAATTATAATGGTAGAGATAAAATGGTTGGAGTGGAGGGAGGGTGACGAAGGGTTAATCGGCAACAGTTTCCTTTGTCTTTACTGTGGAGTTCAAGGTGGACTTTAGTTTAGAGTTCAGAAATAGTTGTTTAAGAGCAAGTCTTACATAGAATTAGACAGTGAGAGGATTGCTTCCTATTAGAACCTGTTCCATTGTTAGAAGTTTTGGAGTTTTTTTTTATATGATGGGGATTTTGGTCAGTGATTTATGAACTGTTGAATTGTACAAGATTAGCTCCAACTTTCAATCTTTTGATGGAAAGATAATAAAATTTAAAAACTTTCATTTCGTGATGATGAATGGGATTGGGCAGTTTGCTATGTTTTTCTGTACATCTGTAAATTGACTCTCTTGAATTCATATGTCATGCCTAATTTTATGTGACTCATTTGATCTGGAATGTACTCTAGCCTGGCTAGGCCAGTCATGTTCCTTAATTGGTCTATGGTTATTATGTTGTCCTGACAATTGTAGTTTTGAACTTTTGATTGAGATATCTACCTCCACTATTTAGATGGGTGACTTCGGAGAGTGGGGATAAATGGTGTTTGTGAACTTGTTTTTGTCGAAGTTTGGATATCAGATTTGTGGCATTGCATATTGATGTATAATTCTTTGAGAAGCACAACAGTAGCAAGTAGTGAGGTATTTAATATGAATAGGGCTTTAATTGTGATACAGTTGGCTTATTTTGATATCTCAACAAATTTGGTGATGTAAAAGCTTCGAGCTTGCAACCTTTATCTAGATGTGTTTTTGAAGTCCAAGGATTGCAAACTTGTTTTGTACTTTTACTTTACCATAGCTAAATAGTCCATTACATGTGAAACTTCTGAAAGACAAGCTACCATTACCAAACATATACTTTTATGTTAACAGAACTGTTTTAGTTGCTAAATAACGTTTGTAGCTGAGTTTGTTGCGTAGAATGGGAACATACAAACTAACCATGTAAATGGGAATGCATGTCATTACTAAATTCATATTGAGGTTATTGTCTTATGTTGCCTCATTAATGAAAATATAATCCTTTGTCTTGTGCCTTACTGTCTTAAACCTGAATAATTTTTACAGTTGTGGACAAAGCTTCAAAAAGTTGGTGCTGATATGGTTTCTCTTGCAAAGAGCCTTTCGGATAAGTCTAGGACTTCTTATCATGAACAGGTAAAGCCCTAAAAATGAACTAACTTGCTGATGCTGCTCTTACTTTGTGCAACTGCTTGACTTTATTTCTGAGGATTTAATGCTTTGCGTGTATGATGGTTTGTTCACGAGACGTTTGTCTCAATCAAAAATCTTTTCATTCGCTCCCCCTCATGTTGGATGTGCATATGTAGAAAGTAGATTCTGGGAAATGTTGCTTGGAACTCCCAGAGCCACATCACTCTCTTTCTTTATCTCTCTCCTGCTGTCACAATTAAGTAGTTCATAAGATAAAACGGATTTGGTTCATCTAAGCAAGCTTTATTTGGAAGCATTATACTGCAAAAAGTACATTTATCCTTAGTTTTTGATGATAACTAACTATTCATTTTATTGAACGTTTTGTTTCTTGCTCTAGTTTTTATTTTTATTTTTATTTTTTTTTTATTGGTTAATATTGTTTGCTGTTTGAACTTGTTAGATATTTGATGTTTTGGACATTGGGAGTATTGACCAAAAAAAAAGTCCTAAATCATTTCTTGGATTGTTGTTTTAACCTTGTGATTAGATTTTGCTTTTAGATCTGGTGACTTGGTGCTGAACAAGATATATTTGCTTCTTGTTATTAATAGCAGTTTCTTACTGAAGAATCGGACTTGCAAAGTAAACTAGACCTAACAGAGGCCTGTGGTGTGTACAAAGTCTCTGTTTGCCGGCGCTGTGGAGAAAAGGCAGATGGAAGGGAATGTCTGGTGTGTGATTCATGTGAAGAGATGTACCATGTTTCTTGCATTGAGCCTGCTATTGAAGAAATTCCCTTAAAAAGTTGGTACTGTGCCAAGTGCACCGTCAATGGCATTGAATCGCCCCATGACAATTGTGTGGTGTGTGAGAAACTAAATGCCTCTAGACCTGCAAACAATGGGGTTGGAGATGATGATCTGACAAATGAAGACACAGAACTTGAAGAGAATTCAAATGGTTTAGTAGAACATGGGCTCCAACTATCAAAAGGAGGAAAAAATATACACCGCTGCTACTTTTGTCAGTGTGTGGTAGACAATGGTGAAAAATTCAAGGTTTGTGGCCATCCCTACTGCCCTCACAAGTACTACCATGTGAAATGTTTGACACCTAAGCAGTTGGGCACGTATGGTCCGTGTTGGTACTGCCCTTCTTGTCTGTGTCGAGCTTGCCTCACTGACCAAGACGATGAAAAGATTGTTCTATGTGATGTCTGCGATCATGCATACCACATTTATTGTATGCAGCCTCCGCGTGATTCGGTTCCCAGAGGGAAATGGTTTTGCAAAAAATGTGGTGCTGGGATCAGGCAAATACGCAAGGTGAAAAAGGCATATAAGAATGTTCAAAATAAATTGAAAAAGAGCAGTGAAGATGGAAGCGGAGCATTTGAGAATCCTGAAAACAAACAGAAAGAGAGCGAAGAATTGATTAATAAATCTGGTGGAGTGGACATGCTTCTTACTGCTGCCAAAACTTTAAATTATGAGGAGAAAATGGCAGCAATTGAGATGAAGAATTGAAAAAGGAACTAGACATTTTGGGGAGGCAATGACCTAAGAAAATATTGACCCTGTTCAAGTATCTCCCAGTATAGAAATATGTTTTTGTTGCATCTTTCAGAGCACTAATCATTTGGTAGGCTGTAAACTGTGTTAGACTTGGCTGACTTTTTGGATACATAACTCAGTGGCAAGATAAGATTCTGCAAATGTAAAAATTTTTGGTCGATGGCATGTAAAACTATGATGGGAAGTTAAAGGGATTCTAGAGCAGTGAGACCAATTTGATGTTAGTGAACCCAACAGCTAGTGTTGAGCATGCTTTGGGGTTTTTGTTTTTTGTAATACATATCTTTGCTAGGGATATATATATGAGAATATCTAAAGGCAATTTGTTGTAAAATGAAGATTCCTAAATGACCCTTTCTTCTTGATAAGCAAGGTGAAGTGTCACGATCCGAACTCGCCCCTATGGGTTAAGGCCACAACTGGCCAGTAATCACGAGATTACTTACGGCTTCAAACCAAATAAGACAAAATTCATCAGAGTAAAGGGGCTAAATGGAAGCAAATTTAAAACTTTGTTCATAGAGCCGTACTTATATGCACATCATAACATTTCACGTTCACATATGTTAATAACTCACTATAGAAAGTATAGTAGCATAAGGTCCTGTACAGACAGGATTATTTAAATTTAAGTCAGCCAAACAAAATTATACATAGACGTACTCAAAGACTTCGCCAACATGACAATATAAAACAAAACGACAAAAAGGCGAAGACGAGTTTCGTGCGTGAGGACGCAAAAGCTGACTCTTCAAAACCTTTGCTGTTTCACACAGACTTCACTAGGGCTGGGTTTGGACTTCTCTTGGCCCACCTACAAACACATGAATGAGCGTGAGCGATAGTCCAGTGAATAATATCAAATAAAGAAGTTATATAAACGATATGTAGAACAACATGCTCCAAACGGTTTTGGGCCCAATTCATATTTCTATGTAACATGTATATACATAATTTAAGTTAAGTGACTGCAGTTCCAAATATACTAGCCTTTGGCCATTTATCTTCCCATATCAAACTGGCCTTTGGCCCATTCAAACTTTCATTTATATCAAACTGGCCTTTGGCCAATTCAAATGACAAACTGGCCTTTGGCCCATTTATTCATTCATGTCAAAACGGCCTCTGGCCCATGCATTCATGTGAAAACGGCTTTTGACCCATTCATTCATTCTTTGTCAGAACGGCCTCTGGCCCATCCATACATGTCAAAACGGCATCTGGCCCATCCATTCATGTCAAAACGGCCTCTGGCCCATCCATTCATTCTTTGTCAGAATGGCCTTTGGCCCATCCATCATGTCAAAACGGCCTTTGGCCCATTCACTCATTCTTTGTCAAAACGACCTCTAGCCCATTCGCTCATTCTTGTCAAAACGGCCTCTGGCCCATTCACTCATTCTTTGTCAAAACGGCCTCTGGCCCAGTCGTTCATGTCAAACTGTTATTCGTGTCAGATTATCATTCGTATCAGATTATCATTCGTATTAGACTATTATTCGTGTCAGACTATCATTCGTGTCAGATCATCATACTATCATTCGTGTCAGATCATCATACTATCAGACTATTATTCGTGTCAGACTATCATTATTCGTATCAGACGGCCTTTGGCCCAATACATAGCATAACAGATATTTGTCCCCAATTTAGTATAGCAACTTACAAGACTTATATAAAAGTAAGCAATTGGACAAATAACATAGTTCAGATATCTTTATTAAGATATTACTCACAGTAATTGGTTGGTTGGTTTGCCTTGGAGCTCGACCCTACACATTTCATGAACATAAAAGAGTCACAAACAATTCAATCCGTTCTAAATTCACATTTTCCTCTTTAAGCTTCATTCTTATCTCTTTAACTCAATTACAATGCTTAATGCATGCCTAAGAGTACTTGGAAGTGAAAGTGAACAGAAAATGAAACACAGAATGTCTTTACAAAATTTCAGAAAACAGGGTCCCCGCTCGAGCGTGGACTTCCCCGCTTGAGCGGACCCATGAGGCCTGCAAAAGTACTGGTTATGTCGAATTTACGTTCGATCGTGCACTCTGGCGCTCGAGCGGAAGGCCTCTCTACATGGCTCCTCGCTCAAGCGGACACCATGTCTGCAGAAAATACTGGGAGCTCGAAATTCACGCTCGAGCGGCTGTTCTCCTGCTCGAGCGGACGCCAAATTTTCTGGGTTTTCCAAAATGTGTTCTTGAGCTTCAACTTGATATTCAAAAGTTCCAAATGCATGCTTTTGGCTCAATCTTCACATATACATATACTAACATGATATAAATACCAAATTACATCATTATGAAGCTCAATTTCACAATTTAATCACATACATGTCCCAAATTAACCCAAACTCATCACCAACACATCAAATTCAAACGTGCAAAGCTTACACCTCCATGATCTTCACTTGCATGTGAGAGATATGCATTATTCTCAACTAAATTGGTGAAGAAATGATCAAATACATGGATTTCAAACAAGATTCATCATGGATTACACACTTTGTGTTCAATTATGGAAATTAATAGTGATTTCCTACATGCATGCATCTATGGACTTTAAATTCAACAAACACAACTCAATTCGTAGTCTAACTCACTAATTAATCTTCGATCCCCAAAAATTACAAATCAAACTCATGAGTCAAAGGGTTGATTACTCACCTAGAAGCTCAATCTCCCCAATGTATGCTTAATTCTTGAGTTCAACCTTTCAATTTTTCAAACTTGAGCCAAACACATAATTTTTCCCATTGCTTCTTCTCTAGCTGACCCTCTCCCTTTCTTAGAATTTATAATCAGCCAAAATGAAGATAAAAGGGAGAAATTGAGTGTATAGTGCCTTTATTAAAAGCCCCTTTGGTCACATTATTTTAATATCAGATAATGGGGCACTAATTCGCTAATTAAATCAATTTAATCTGATCTGAATTAATTTCTAATTAAATTTCACCGTAAGCTTTAAAAATTATGCCAATCACAATGGCGTAATCAATTTCAGTTTCGGTGGTTGATAGGGCCTTCAATTTAAATTCCAATGCAGATAATCAAATAGATATTCCTATGGTGAACAGATAGAAATTCAAAACCACATATTTTCACATAATGACACACAAAATCATAGCAAAACACATAATCACATTTGTATTAAGGACCAATTAGCATAATAAGGGATAGGGTTATCACATGGAGAGTTTATTGTTTTTGTTACAATTTGATGTTCAATGTGTGTGGGTTATCTTCTTCTTCTTCTTCTTCTCTCTCTATCTCTCTCTTTCTATGTGTTCTACTCTCTCTCTACCACAAACACTATTCAACCGCATTTGACTGATTCTATTTTGTGCACCCTAACTTTTTTTGAAATGTGTTCTCTTCCTTTTCTCATAATTTCTAAAGGGTGACAAATTTATTTCTGTGAATTGACAAAAATGTCCCTTTACATACTGAATTTAAACGAGGATTTTCATTTATTTTAGGGTAAATTATAAATATACTCATTGAGATTTGTTAAAAACACAAATGATCTCCTATGGTTATGAAAATTACAAATAATTTTTTGTCAGAATTTGTCCTTACTAGATTGACAAAAAAAAATAAAAATAAAAAATGAAATTTCTAACTATTACCCTATGCAAGAATAAAATTATGAAAACTTTTGATTGAGATATATTGTTTACATCATTAAAAATTGTTAATTGACTTAATATTTGATTAAAGAAAGGCTTTTGCATAAAATTATGAAAACTTTTAATTGATCACGTCATTAAAAACTGTTAATTGACTTAATATTTAATTCATAAAAAGTTTTATTTGTTATATGATTAGAAATTTTAAGGGACGGAATACAATTTTTAAAACTATAACGGGCAATTAATATTTTAAGTAAATTTTAAAAAGTTTATTTATAATGTACCCTAACTTCTATATCTATTCTATACAATATGTATAAAGTATCAATACGTAATGAACAGTGTTTTCTGCATCGGATGAACAGTAACCTCTCATGTGTTGAAATGTTTGTTTTGCCCCTTGGTCTTTATTTATAATAAAACCTAAAAACAAAACCAACAAAATACAACATGTGTTGAAATGTTTGTTTTGCCCCTTGGTCTTTATTTATAATAAAACCTAAAAACAAAACCAACAAAATACAAATCATGCTTGTGTTGCCTAGAGAGGGGGAGGGAAGGGGGGAGGAAGACCCACCGGGGCAGCAAACGAGCTCTTCCCTGTTCATCATTTGTCTCTTCTTGTGAAAATAGTGTTTTTGGAATAGTTTTTGTGAGTTCTAAAAAAAAAATTGCAAGGACCAAATCCTAATTTTACCTATTTTTTTGGGCCTCAAATCATAATCCCAAATAAATAATATGATGTTTTATACCTAAATTGACTAAAGAAGATGCAAGGGAAATAAAAAAAAAAATACGTGTAGATCTTTTTTTGGGATCTTGCCAAATAAAATTAGGGTTTCTTCATCTTTATATCTTTAGGTAAAGTATATCATTTTGTTTTGTTGTTATTATTATTATTATTATTATTATTATTATTAGTTTATTTAGTAAAGTAAAAATGGTGTTTATTTTTTTTCCTTTTTGTTCCTGATTTTTAATTCTTCTTTCTTGTTCTACTTTTGAAGGGCAAAATGTTGTTGGATTTTCTTCATTTTTGTTGGTTTTTTTCGTTTATTTTGTATTTTAAATTTTTTTTTCTTGTTCTTTCTTTTGATTATTTGTGTTTTTTGTTTCTTCTTGTTTTTTTTTTTTTGGTTTTTGTTTCTTGCTTTTGTTTATGTTTAGTTTTTATTTTTTTTTCTCCCAAACAGTAAAATAGAAAATGTTAAGTCCAAGTTTGGTTTGACATTGATGTTCTGCTTTTTTTTAGGGTTAATATTGTATTTATTCTGAAATTCAATCTTATATGGGTAAAGGGTAAGGGCTGGAGATGCTCTTAATTGTTTTTTTCTTAGTGTAAGGTTGTTGTGAGCAAAAAATTATATTCATGTTATGTTGTTATGTTAATTGTCGTTTCTTTGGTTCAACCTTTTTATATGTTTTTAAATTTATTCGTATTAGTTTGTAGATATTTATAATACTCATGATGTGAAGATAATGTTTGGAGTTGTATATTGATATGTATAAATCTTCAATATGCATCTATGATTTTAATTTTTGTGTTATTGTCGTGCTTGATATATTTCTTTCATTGGTTGTTGATTCCCCCCTCTCCCAGCTCAAATTTGTTATTATCTTATTTGTTCAATTTTTTTTTTTGGTTCTATTTTTTGTGTGTTTTCTAACATGCAACAGATCTTGAGGGATCTTACACA